AATCACAATTTTGTTGTAGTGTATTATCGCTAATATGTCTCTCTTTAATAAAAGCAGTTTGTTGAGATCCAACAATGTCTGGAAGCACCATCTTGACTCTATTGACAATAAGCTTAGCAACACATTTATAAATAGTATTGCGACAAGAGATAAGCTAGAAAAGAGGAAAAAAATTAATTGCAAACATGATCCTAAATTTTTCAAAAAATGCAAATGAGTCTAATTAAAATTAAAATTTTGAAAAAAAAAAAAAAAGTTAGGGAGCATTTTGCAAAAAGTTTGTGTGATTTAGGGAGGATTTTACGTCAAAATGAACAGTTAGGTAGTATTACTCAAAACGTGCAAAAGTTAGAGAGTATTGTGTTAATTACTATTTTTTTTTTTTTTGAATTTGTGCCCTATTTATTGGCTAATCTAACGGAATTGGAAGACATCTAGAGAATTTTGCATTAAAATAAAAGGAAAGACGAAGGTTAGGAAAGTTCTGTGCATGGATTGTTTGTTCCCTTTAAATAAAGGAAAGTTGAGATGGACAAAGTTTAGGAAAGTTTTGTGTCGATAACCCTAAATCCTAGTAACGTATATATAATAGTCGCCTGGCCATTGAGAAATAAATTATTTCTCCTTCGTATTCATCGTAACCCCTTTTTTTTCTGAACTCTTTAACCTCCAATGGCAGCAGCCAAACTACCATGGGAAATCACGATTGATATACTGTCCTGGCTCCCGGTCAAATCCCTTATGCGGTTCAAATGCGTTTCAAAATCTTTCTACTCTTTAATTTCTCAAGATTCCCACTTCAAAAAGAAACATCAGAATCAATCAGAATTGACGAGCGCGATTCTTTGTCTCAAAGATGAACAAAATTCTATTTATTCATGCACCCTTTCAACTTTGTCCTCGGATGATCATCAGGACGTGATAAAACTTGATTTTCCATTTAAAGGGCAATGGAGAATTCACAATTCTTGTGATGGCTTGTTTTGCATTTGATAAAATCAAGGAAAGAAAGTAAGTTTGGAGCTGAAATTATGGACAAAAATAACAGGCAGAAAGGGAAGCTGAAAATAAAACAGAGAACCGGGATAGAAGCCTGCTATGAAGGGCAGGGAAGATGAAGAAAACTCATTCATTCATGCTTAAGGAAATTACAAAGCATTCTATTCTATTTATAGAGGAAATATGTAACAAATTATCTAACTAACTAACAAGATAACATACCAAGGAACTAGAATATGCTAGAATAAGCTGGGACTGGAACGTGCAACTTGCTGGTGACTGGTTTGCTGTTAAACATGCTGATGGTCTTGCTGTTGGTTCGTAAACTGGAGACATGCTGGTGAACTGGAGTTGCTGAAGCCTGAAGGTGAGCTGGTGTTTTGCATGTTGAACTGGTGAGATGAGGTTAATATTCCAACAGCATTACAGATATTGAAGAAGTTGTGTTCATATGGAACCCTTCCACTAGAGAATTGAATAGGCTTCCAGATAGTCTTATTGTTTCACCCTCATTATGGATTTATGGAACTATGTATGGATTAGCTTATGACTCAATCTCCCATCACTACAAAGTCTTGAAAGTGATCGGACCTGAGCTTATATCCTATTCTTTGAAAGATGATTCGTGGAGAAGAATTGAGGATATAAAATACGAAACCGTGTGGTCCTGGGATGATTGCAACTTGGTTAACGGAGCGTTCCATTGGATTGCTAGCCTCGACGAAGATATCTTTCGTGGACCTTTCGTGATTGTTTCACTTGAAATAACGGAGGAAAAATATAAAGAGTTGGAACAACCACCTTCAATACCTCGTTTAGCTGATGAAACTCTATTCCGTTTAACTGTATTGAGGGAAAGCTTTGTTTGTACAGCTACTTATTTAGAATATCCTTTGATTTATGGGTGATGGAAGAATATGGCGATATAAAATCTTGGACGAAAAAGCTTTCTATTCCTTACAGTATGAATCAATGGTGTAATCCTTATGCTAAGAATCACTTGTATCAGTACTTTCACTGGAAGCCCTTGTATTTGTTCGAGGATGGTAAAATCTTGCTAGATACGGTGATTAGTGAAGGGCAACGACTTCTCATTTACGACGAAGGAAGATTAGTATCGAAGACTATTGCTAATCGTAAGATTCAGGAAGCACATATCTGGTCGGAGACCCTTTCTTCACCTCATCTAAAAGGGCACGGATTTTAAATTATTGTACTAGGTGCTTAAGTTGATTAATGTCTCAGAATTCAATTTCGATTTGATGATTGGCTATGTTGAGGAATTAGATTCTGTTTATTACTATTCCAGAAGTTACACACATGTTTTTTGCTTTTTAATCTACTACTGAGGTGTAAGGTTTTGGACACTGAATAATATCATTGGAGTAATTTAGTGGTAATAAGAGTCAACTCGGAAATCTCTGTACCTTATTGCTTTCACCATAAAGATACTTGATTGTAGCTCTTCAATTGACTTTCTTGTGTCTTTGATGAATTTTTTCCAAACATGGAAAAGTCGCCTTCCCAATTTAAGAAAAGTTCTACCTGGGAGATGATTTAATCTAAGAGCTTGAGGCAAAGATATTGCACATCATAGTTCAAGTTTAGTTTTTGGATGCATTTTGTAGATAATTGTTGGGCAGAGTAAAAAGTCGGGGGTCTTCAAGAGAAGGATTAGCATCATGCGAGTTGCTTCTCCCTGTTAGATTGACATCCATGGATAATTTTCACGGTCCAGTTGCTCAAGGCAGAGGTTAGTCATTGTCTCTGCTCATTGTGAACAGGAGATCCTCTCATGGATCCTGCTTCTTCTAGGTGGTGAGTGTTAGTGCAGAATCCTTCGAATTATCAGCATCCAACTCAAAGTCTTATTTCTCTTTTATTCTCTTAACAAAAGGAAAGTCTACAAACCATGATGCAGTGCAGAATCCTTCCAATTATCCACATCCACCTCAAAGTCCCAATCAGAATGGCAATAAACTCCTAGATACATGATTTCTAATCTTTGAAAAAGTACGTAACCATCACACCAACTCAACTCACTACTCCTAAGTTGCAGCCCAGAAGCACCAAGCAAAGTGGTTTACACGTTTACAGCCAGTTTCAATAACCTCCACATCTCCCAAACCGACATGGCAAATTTCATTGCCAAAGTCTCATTTTGAATCCATTGATATACTTCAATTAACCTTTCCTTTTTCTTGATAGTTAGAGTAGGTCATTCGGCAAAAGTAGGTTTAAAAATCAACGCAAACATTTTTTCTTAACAAGAAATGATTAATATTGTGATAACGTAATTTGCCTTTATTCCCCATTATCCAGACGGTGGGTGTCCTTCATGGTTAAAGCTAGGCAAAACAAGACTTTCAATGTAGGTAACTGCTTCAAGATAAGGCCATCAATAAGAGAATTCTCATGGAAATTGGATGTTTCAGCACTTGAATCGTATAACTTCAAAGCTGACCCATAGTTCATTAAGAACACTGCATCTCCGACACATATAATGGCAATGGTTTGTCGAACGAATAATTCTCGACATCCATAATGCAAGTGAATCTATTCTAAGATTCCTTGATGCCACAATCATTCATCATCCATGCATCCAACTTTGTATTATATTTACAAAACAAACAAAGGCACCCCCTTAAGACTCCCAATGAAAAATGTCTATGACCAACTATATCACATATGGGAATAGGTACTTTTCCGTACATTAGAGTCACCAAATTCAGAGAATTCATATACCTTGGGAGCTCGTATTCACCTGGCCAATGAAATGCTCCATTGCTACACACACAGGAGCTGCCAAATTCAAAACTACTTTTCCACTTATTAACTACTCTCCAAGAATCATCTCTTAAGCTGTATGCCTTCACACTTGCTACGTGATTCTTGCCGACAATTACACAAGACATTTCGACAACCACGTAATCATCTTTTTTTTTTCATCAAGGCCAAAACCGTAATACAAATTATTAAGGCCAAGAGAACCCGATGATGGTAAACATTTCAATTTTCCTAAGGTTGGGTTCCCAAGGAAAATTTTATGTGTTCCCACATATACACATAATAGTCCATTCACAGAACCTATGATCTTTAAAGAATTGATTATTTTAGTACCGCAGATTGCAGAAGACTTTATACATTTTATTTGATTCATAAAAGAATCTAGATAGCAGGAGCTAGGGGTGGGCGTGGGTTGGGTTGGGTTGGTTTTTGCCCCAACCCAAACCCAACCCAACATGGTCGGTTTGATCTAAAATCAAACCAACCCAACCCATGTAAATGTTAAAACCTAACCCAACCCAACCCAATCAAGTGTCGGTCGGGTTGGGTTGGGTTGGTCGGTTTGCCTTTTTTTCCATTTGCTATTGAAAATTGCAATTGAAAATTTCTTCCAATAAAAGAATTAAGAATATAGTTCCTACAATGTAACAATGCATATCCGTTCACCGAAAGCAGATTTTTCCTAACTAACTTGACAAGGTAAATCAATTGATGATAACAATATAAAACATTAGCATCCATAACGTGATTGGCTACTTGAAAGTGCTAATTTATCTAATAAAAACACAAACAAATTCTCCAAAAGAAGAAAACTACCTATGCAATTAGGAATGAACTACCAGTGGCAGGAAAACTTTACCCATTGGATTAGCCCACGGAACCCTTTTAGAGTCTCCCCCATCATATACCTGATATCAATACTCATAACATCAGCATTACTTCTCTGAGGTGGATGGAATTGTATAATTGGGTGAAAAAACCTGTTAAAAGGAAACATCAGTTTCACATTTCCTCTGTTTCGAGAAGATCGTAAATTTTGCAATAATCTGAAAAATGAGAGTAAAAACCGAACTTGATAGCATATTTCACAGGTTGTACCATCTTTTTTATTGCACCATCTCTGAATGCACTTTCTATGGGCAAACTTCATTTTGAACACAAAGAAACAAGAAATATTAATATTGCTTCACAGCTTCAACTTGCAACAGCTCTCGGCAAACAAAATCTTTATTTCCGTAAATTATGCGATAATCAGAAATACAATAAGGGCTTCCATTTTTTCAAATGAACAATTGCAATCAAGAAACAAAAATGGATTTTATCAGTATTATGTCGAATGGAAGCATCACAAATTGGTGAAAACTATACATTAATTAGAAATTTAGTTCTAACTACAAGAATTTAAGTAAACAGGTCATTGAAACATTGACCCAGTGGAGAAAAGATTATGAAATCTAGAAGATTGAAGTCCCACGACAACATAGTTGGAAACATATCTGAAACTATTCAAAGATGATGTTTTCCCTTTTCAATGAACAAAAATTTGAAGCCATATGTGTACATATACAGTCCAAAAAAAAAAACCATTCCACCCCAACCCGCGAATATCACAATATGCACAAGTTCACAAAAATACCTCCTGGGCACTTCGCAGGATCTTCTTTTTCTGTTGCTGACTTGCTGCCTTGCTGGTGTAGATCTGTTCTTGCCGTGATGAAGAAGAATTTCAGATGAAATTTGGTTGGAGTCTCAACTCTAGAGAGGAATTATTGGCGAGAGAGGCGACTGGAGTGAGATGGAGTCTGGCGAAGTGGCAATTTAGGTTTTGGTTTTCAATTAAACGTCGTTTTCCTTTTTTTTTTTTTTAAATTTTTGCTGTTGTCGGGTTGGGTCGGGTCGGTTTAGATCGGGTTTGGGGTGTTAACCCACAACCCGACCCGACTACCCCACCCCAAACCCGAAACCCACCTAAAAAAGCAAAAAAACCGACCCAAACCGGTCGGTTTGGGTCGGGTCGGACGGTTTGATCGAGTTGGTTTGGGTTTTGCCCACCCCTAGCAGGAGCGGAGGATTACCCTATTTTCTGTGCAGCCTCCAAATGCAAGTTTAGTTGTTTCCTTCTTTTGGAGTGAAATTTTGGTATGGCATTTCACAAATTCAGAACTAAAAAATCAAAGTGCACCAAGATTTACTAACGCATGAAAATTTTACAATAGACTTCAGCTGCAGTGTTAAGAGTATCTCAAATATCACATCTTGAGGAACATGACGATTTGACATTGAATCTCCGAGAATTCCTTTAGGCCGATTTGCCATTGAAACAAAAGAATTGTGTATAAGCAAATTTTCCCTCTTAGTTGTATGTCTCCCCCCCTCTGGGAATAAAGAAGCCAAATGTATAAGCAATCATGCTACATACACTTTTTTTGATATCAAGTTTGACATTGTGCCATGTGTCGCAGCACAAGTGGCCAGTTTTAAAACAAACATACTTTCCCGCCCGTTCATTTTTGAATTTGTACACAATGCCATCCACATTATCATCTATAGAATGTACAATAAGCTTTATTCATGTATAAAATGGATTTTCTTTGGCCAAAATTGCTGTTTTCATCTACCTAACTTTAAATAAATATTATTGAAAATCTTGTTAACAATTTTTATGTAAACTAGAAAACGAGTTGCATATATTGACACCACATAAAGTCCGACCACGAAAAAGTTAGACGTAAAATATGAAAGTTCGCTTAATAAAATATTACCTTAATTGATATATCACTTTTTTCCCCTTCAAAAGGTCACTTTTTTAGGATTTAATTAATTAAAAAGGCATCTTTCTTAATTAATTTTTTTATTCCAAAAAACTTCTTTCTTACTTATTGCAACACAAAATAAAAATTATTAAAAGATTTAATCAATCCTTTCTTGACGAAGTTTAGTTGACACGAAAATTATGTGCTTCTATTCTTCTCTAGTTTTCTTGCTCATTATTCTCTCTTTTTTTTTGCATAATGTTATTTGACCGTTGCATAGGTAAAACACACACACACACACACACACACACACACACACACAACAATTTACAAATTAACCAACAAAATTGATAATAATTTCATTACTA